TCCTGCGTAATTTAGAAGCACATATATTACCATATCACCAACTTTTTTGTTTAACATTTTGATAGCTGTATTTCAATATAACTGATTTTCTTTGTAATCTTATGTATTTATTTACTTTTATGTTTTTAAAAACATTCTTCTGAGAAGAAATCTGGACTGCTGAAGTGGAAAAGGGTCCATGGCTCAAAACCAGTTACGATCCCTTGGGGGGGCGAGGGAGGGAAGGGGCTGGAGCACCTCCCCCCGGGCCGAGGAGGGCAGGGTCTACCCCCTCCCCCCATACACCCATCCCCCTGCCTGAGCTCACCATTTGGAGCGGAAGGAGGGATACTGGGGAGAAGGCAGACCTCCTTAAGATTTTCCTTAAGTCGTTAGAGAAAACATGTAACCAGTTACAAAGAGACCAAATAACACAGCGATCTGGGCATACTTCTCTGAAAGCACCAAGCCTCACAGCCCTGATTTTTAAGATGGTTGCCCCTGCAGCCCAAGGGCCAGCACGTGGTCTGGCAGCGCCTGGTTTTGTGAGCACTGCTAACTGGACCTGTGTGCCACGCTGCTTCCAATGATGGGGTTGGTGAAACTGGCCTCGACTCTGTGTTTAACTCAGAATGACTCAGCCTGATGCCGGGGTAATAACTGCTTGTTGGTCTCCCAGGGTGGAGTTCGCGAGGGGGCGAAAGCAAAATCACATCCTAGTAAGTGTGGTTTCTAAATTCACTGTAAGGCTGCTGGCGAGTAATGCAGCTGGCTCTCCCCTGCTGGGTTTGGGAGCTGTTCCTCACATCATAGAAGGCTGGAATGGAAAGAATCCTATGAGATTCCGTCCTAATGGCTAGTCACCATATGTCTGGAAGATTCCAGATAACCTCCATGGCACTTCTTCCAAATATTTGAAGTTCATTACTCAAGACTGTGATGCCTCCAGCACAGAATGTTTGGGAAACCAGTGAGGGCTGAGAGCAGGGACGGGGTAATCTGTTTTCCCGACTACAATGGGTAGACGTTATCAAATACTGGGCCCTTGAAAGGCTCAATGAATGATGGCTGATTTAGGGCCTGTGTCATTTTGTAAACGGCTTTGCATCTGGGTTGCGCTCTCATGTTCCAAGAAAACAACTTAATCTCTTACCTAATGAAAAGTGGATAGAATTTGGATTCCAAGATTCAATTTTCAACATAAAGGAAGCTTTTCTCCTTTCTGTTTTATTCTCCTTAAATGCCATGTTGGATAGAACCGCTCGTCTTAGAACTGGATGGAGAAATTAATAAGGACTAACTTCTCAGATTCTCTTATGTATTTTGTAAGCATGCTATCTCTTCTTGAGGTCCTGCAAATCTTTTACTTAGCATTCAAAAAATGGGAAAGAATTGTGTGTGTGTGTTTATCCATGCAAACATAGACACAATTAGAAAAACGAAGTCTTGTTCCTTCTCAGAATTATAGCATCAGTTCTTACGATTCAAATATTTTCAACTCACATTTGAGAAGAAAGGAGAAGGACATGACAAACGAGCATTACCAATAAGACAATTCTTCTTGGAAGCATACTTAGGAGTACTGTTTTGCCCGTTAGAACACGTAAACCCGTCTGCTCCGGGGATGTCCAATTTAAGCGCTCGAGGCGGGAGCCTCAGCTGCCTCTCCTCTGATTGACATGCTTGTCCCTGCTCCCCTCCCTAGTTCCCTGATGACGAGCCTTCGCCTCCTCTCCATCTCTATTTTTATTTGACCTGAAGCCAGTTGCACTGATTCCAAAAGAGAGAAAAGGGCCTGGCATGGCTTCTGTCCCTTCAGGCTGGCCTGCTGAAATGATGGATAATTCCCAGACGCTACTCCCTGAAGATTAAGTCCTTTTCATTTGGCCTGATTTACGCTGGCTTTCTCACCCTTATTCTCTGTTTGGGAAGGAGACAGCACCCCATTATTTAGCCATGAAAGCAGGGATGTCACTAAAGGTGGTCTCATCTTACCGCTTAAAGACCTATTAGAAATCTCATTTTGCTTTTTGGAGATGTCATTGTGATGCAAAGCGGTTCGGGGTTCCGTTACTGGTGAAAGCTCTTTGTCCGGCTGGCCTGGCCAGTCGTGGCCCCAGATTTGCGGCTCTCCTTTCCTACTGCTATCCCTAAAGCAGGAATACTGTTACTTTGAGGATTTCATGACATCAGTTGAGAAAAACATTAAAGCAGGAAAATTGCAGCTGAGCAGAACGGCGCCATCAAACCTTCCCTCAGATCCAAGTGACAAACTCCACTTTGTTCTGCTGTCCTGACACCGGATGTCCCTGTGGAGCTTCAGACAAATGCATACCTGCCAAGTTATTACTGTGCGGATTAATGAAGAGGGCATTTTCTATGATTATGGCTTTCCCCCCCGACGTTTTTCTCTTCTAGGCAATTGACTGTGTTTTCCTCTGTGTAACACTCGCAGCTGTTAGACCCAGGATCCCACGTTGGTGACCTTGTGGGCTCCCCTTCATCGTCTCCTTGGGCCGCTCCGTCCGTTTCCTGGGCAGTTTGCATTCCCAGCAGGAAATGGTCAGTGACCTTGAACAGGTCACTTCACCCCTCCCTGCCTCAGTTTCTTCAGCTCTCAAAGAAGGATAACAACAGCTCGTTTTTAATGTTGTGAGGATTTAATTAAATAAGGTGTGGAAAGTGCTTAGCGCACTCTGCCAGGCACAGAGGCTCATTCCACCAATGTTTATGGAACGTCGACTACGTGTCAGTCGTTGTCCTAGGTGCTGGGAGCAGCAGACATAGGCCCCGTCGCTGCCCTCTGGAGCGTTCAGCCCGGTGGAGGATTTGGGCATTAATTTGACATCACACAGGTTTATATCTCCAAATTGGGCCAAGGACTAGGAAGGAAAATTGCTTAGAGCTCCACTGGGCCCTGACCTAATCAAAGGACATATTTCCATAGCATCTGAGTGGAAATTGGAAGAAAGAATAAGAGTGAATCAGGAGAAGGAGGTGTCAGCCCCCCTGCCAAACCCGGAGCGTGGCTTAGCGAGCAGAGTGTGGGCCGGGTCTCAGTGCCCTGTGGGTGCCCTTAGCAGCAGACTGCATGACCACGTGCAGTGCTCCAGCTGGAGTAGGAGGATACTGGAGGCCGAGGAAAGTCCCTCTGCAAAGGCCCTAAGGTGGGAGGACACACTTGAGGAGATGAAAAGGGCCCGCATGGCTGGAGCACAAGGAGAGAGGCTGGTGGGAGGGGAGGCCAGAAAGTTCTCGGTAAATATCAGCTGGTATGAATGCCCGATAGTGTTATTCTCATAAACTCACTGCCAGCACTCCAGGGTCTCCTTAGAAAGACCAAAATCTCTCTACAAGCTGTTAACTTTTAACTAGTGAAGGAGAATTTCTTCAGGGATGGGATTTGTCCGTGTCACACAACTGTGATTTGGAGAATAAGGAGAATGGACGAGGAGAGACCTTTAATGTGGAAAGTGGGAGCCGATGCGCCTCCAGTGGCAGGCCTCCAGCACAATATGAATGCTCCATTACAGCCCAGAAAACCGGATATTAGGCAGTAAGTGAAAACAAAAACAGAACCAAAAAAAATGTCACTACATCATGCAAATAAAAATGGAAACTGAAATTAGGGAAAGGTCTCTAACAATGCGGTCGTTTTGAGGGTGTAATTAGGTCTCCAAGAAATAGAAGAACCTGCTTTCCTTGGCCTCTTAGAAAGGACTGGCCCAGCCCGAGAGCCAGAACTTGGCAGCACTTCGCTTGCTAGAAATGTTCCCAGTGACCTTCAGGGTCCTTCCCGTCTTTGATTTCTTTATTCTGGAATAATTCAAAAGAGCATTCATTCAGTCACACAATTATACGTATCAAGGGAAGTTTTGTTGTTGTTGTTTTAAGGCAAAGTTTAGAGGGAGATAAAACCGCAGACCCCGGAGAATCACGCGTCGCTGCCAGTTTCCCTCGCAGTCTGCGCCAGGCTGGGCATCTGCTAAGTGCTGGCCCCGTTGAGGTGTGGTCTCCACACAGCATTGGGAGGGAAGCCTGAGCTTTGGGACTGGCTGGATCTGGGCCCGGATCCTGACTAGGCCACCTACAAGCTGTGTGACCTTGGGCAGTCAGTACTCCTCTCTGCACAGTGGGAGTTACTGTAAACTCAAGTGATGGCTGTCATTAGCGAGGGCTCTGTGGCCAGGACTTGAGGGTCCCTCACCAGCAAGCTTTCGGAGGATCCTGCCCCGGGGACAGCCTTCTGGTGAGGCACATTCCTTTCAGAGCTTTATTTCTTTGTGCTGTATCTGCAAAGTCTTGACTCTTGCTCTTCAGGGGTAGCTGTGCTTTGGGGAGACATAAGGAACCAGAATGAAGTTAGACTTACACTTAGTATCTCTTTAAAACTTTTAGGAAAAAAACAAGAAAAGAAAAGAACATTTAGCCATGATTTTTAAATGTGATATCTACGATAAAAAATCCCATCATAATCTTAAAAAATCCCACAAGAGCAGACACTGTCAATGGAACCAGCGCTTGAGATATTTTATTGCTTCTTAAGATGTAGAAATACAGAGGTAAATTCCAGTATTTTCCCTCCAGGTAAGAGATGGACTAGTTAATTTCCCTTCAATAGAAAGTTGGGAAAGAGCCGTTTGTTATGCCTCACTCAGCTGCAGTACATAAAGGTCTCTTCTGCTCTGGCTCTTGCTTTGTGTCCACAAGGCCTTACGTCAATAACATGTATGTTGCACCTTGAGGACTAACATGCAACTTTAGTAACCTGAGCCCTTCCGAGCGGGGCAAGCTAACAGTGATTTAAGATTATGCTGATTGAAAACAAAAAATCCACCCCAGATTTCGAAATAAAACATGCTAACTCAAGCTTAAACTTTCCTATCAAAAATGACATTGTTGCTTTCTAAGAATGGGAACGGATGAGGCCCTTAATCAGAGAGGCCATTATGTTGTCAAAGGCCTTGCTGAGGCTGAAGGACGGATTCTCATGGGCATATGACCGTTTTATTGCTTTTCAGCCCACGGCCGCCAATCCCACTCTCCCTCCTGCTGACAGAAGAGGAAGCAGCCCTCACCATTCAGTCCTTCTGGAGAGCCTATCTGGTAAGAGTCGTGTGCAATTACGGCATTTGGCCTGATGGGGGACTTCTGCGATGTGGAGGCCCACGGGAAAGCCCTTAGATGGATTTGAAATGGAGAATATTAGGGCTAACATCCAGACCTGGGAAACAGGATACTCTGTAAAATAGGTCGCGAAGAGTGATTTAGAATTTCTACCAAAACTTATTTTGCAATTATCATTAAAAGTACCCTCCAGCCTTTTAAAGTTGGGATGAGTGCCTTATATTACATAAAAAATAATTTTATATGCAGACAGAAGCAATACATGTTCACTGAGAAAACTCAGATAATTCAGATAAAGCCAATAAAAAATTTTTGAGTCACTGATAACTCTGTCACCCAAAGATAATCATTGTTGATATTTTGGTGTAAAACTTTCTAAACTTTCAAAAATCTTAATAGATAGAATAACATTTAAATACTTACCTAGAAAAAGTGACCTTTTCTTTTCAAGCTTGTCTTTTCTAACCATTTTCCTATTGGTTATTTCCAGTTTATCATTATTGTAATAAATGCTGCAATACAAATCTTTGTGCAGCCATCTTTGCACATTTGTCTGGTTGTTTATGTAGGAGGAATTGTAGAAGTCGAATTTCTAGGTCAAAAGGTGAGTTTTTTTCTTTTTTCCCTGATCCATATTGTCATGTGGCCCTTCAAGAAGGATGCACTTTAAAAAATTCTTACCAAATACATATGAGAGTGGCGTGCGTATCTCAGGCTAAAAAGTGTACATCCTCTGATTATTTGCAATTAGAGTATCAACGTTGAGAGGTTTCCTGGTCAACACTAAGCTCCCATTCTAGGTGGCAGCATGGCCCCACCCAGGTGTGAGTGTCAGGCATCGATGGAATGAGTTTAGGTTTGACATCGGCGGTGGCAAGCATCACCAAAGGAAAAGGTCTCAGAGGTTTACGTGGAGGCCAAAGATCTGCATACTGATGTTCTCCTTAGGGCTGGCGTGGGAGAAACAGACTGGGGTGAGCACACTGGCAAGCAGTGCTCCGTCAAGACGTTAGACTAATTCTAATGAGGTATAATTAATTAATCAATCAGCAAAATATTTGTTACATGACCATTAAATGGAACTGTCCTTGGTTACAAGGAGCTCACTGTCTGGGGCAGTATTGTCTGGTCATTTCACTCCTTTTATACATGGCACATTCCCAAAAACATGGGATGAAGTCAAGTGTGAAAGTTAAATAATAAACTTGCACATCGTGAGGAACAGTCTGTTCCCAAAGAGTTAAAAGCCAGTTATAAAACTCTATTATACCCCACGACTTACATGTAATCTTTGATGACATAGGTTTTTAGCATTTTTTACACATCTTATAAATGTGGTCTTTTTGCTTCATAATTGAACACCAGCTGGTTAGCTTAAATCCGGTGAGGTCTAACCAAGGCGAAAGATGCCTGCTTTCCACATGCTTCTTGAGTTCCATCTTTGTCATCAGCGTGTTTCATTTGTGAGGTGTATACTTGTTACACCAGAATCAGTGATTTTGCTTTTCTATTTTCTGTTCCTTTTTATGAAACAAAGAGCAAAATGCAATAAAATAGTGAGTTTTGGATTTTATTTCTTCCAGAAGCCTGGTAGGTATCCAGGATGTAACAGTAAAAGGAAATGTTCTGTCCCTGGTTCTCCCATGCAGTAAGACCCCCGACCCCGACCTCTCCACACACATGGTGCCTGTGTTATGGGCACAGCATGAAAAACACTGTCTGTAAGACAGCTGAATTCAGCTCATCACACCGACAAACTCTGCCGTGTAAAAGATGTCTCAGTGGCACAGGATTTAACTGTGGCTATTGCACCATCATTCTACACTAGCTAGAAATGTTCCCCAAGGTACAAAAGATGTACAAGGGGTCAGTGTATACTGTATGGAAGTTCAGGCTGTTCAAAGCCAAACATTTCCTGTGCTAAAAACGTAACTGAAGGGGGCCAAGTGAGGGGAAAAGATCCAAGTTTTCGCTAGAAGGAAAAGATATCTGATGTATGAGATGACTTGGAAGTTTCCCCAGAAAAGAAGGACTTGATCTCAGCCTTAAAGAAAGATGGAGCACTGGAGTGTCAGCTGGGACCAAGAGAATATCTCAGGGAGAGGAAATAGCATATATATTTTTTACCTTTTTTTTAAAAAACATATTGTATATTTTCGACAGCTACACACACAAACACATACAGACATGCATAGGAAAATATCTGAAAGGAAGCAGAGCAATGTGACAACAGTGGGTACATTGGGTTGGCTGGGACAGAATTAGGGAGACCTAATTGAACAAATTTTTTTCAAAGAGAACTAGTATGATTTTCTTTAATTAAAAATTAATTTAAGTCATACAGTCATCTCAATGGATACAGAGAAAGCATTTGACAAACTCCAACAAGCTTTCCCGATAAAAACACTCAACAAACTAGGAATAGAAAGGAACTTCAACTTGGTAAAGGGTTTCTACGAAAACCCTGCAGCTAAATTATATTTAATGGTGAAAGACTGGTTATTTTCCCCCTAAGATTAGGAATAAGACAAGGATATCTTGTCTTGCCACTTCAATTCAACAAGGTATTAGAGGTTGTAGCCATGGAAATTAGGCAAGAAAAAGAAATAAAAGGCATTCAGATTGGAAAGGAAGAAGTGAAGCTATCTCTATTCATAGATGACATGATCTTCTATATAGAAAATCCTAAGTAATTTGCTAAAAAAAGTTAGAATAAACAAGTTTAGCAAGGTTGCAGGAAACAAGATCAATATACAATAATCAGTTGTATTTCTATACACTTAGCAATGAACAATCTGAAAATGAAGTTAAAACAATTCCATTTGCAGTAGCATCAAAAAGAATAAAATAGTTAGGAGTAAATTTAACAGAAGTTCAAGACTTGTACACTGAAAACTATAAAACATTGTTAAAAGAAATTTTAAAAAGCCTAAACAAACGGAAATAGGGCCTGTGTTTGATGATTGGAATTCTTGATATTGTAAAGATGGCAGTACTCCCCAAATTGATCAACAGATTCAACATAATCCCCTTCAAAATCCCAGCTGACTTTTTTCTTTTTTGCACAAATTGACAAGCTGATCCTAAAATTCATATGAAAATTCAAGGGGCCCAAAATAGACAAAACAATCTTGAAAAATAACAAAGTTGGAGGACTCATGCTTCCCTATTTCAAACTTACTACAAAGCTACAGTAGTCAAGTGATCGCGGCATAAAGATAGATCAATGGAATAGAGTTGAGAGCCCAGAAATAAACCCTTACATTTATGGTCAATTGATTTTCGGTAAGGATGCCAAGACCATTCAATAGAAAAAGAACAGTCTTTTCAACAAATGGCGCTGGGAGGCCTGGATATCCACACACAAAAGAAGGCAGGTAGCCCCCTACCTCACACTATATACAAAAATTAACTCAAAATTAATCAAAGACCTAAGTGAAAATGCTAAAACTATAAAACTCTGAAAAGAAACCATAGGCGTAAATTTTCATGATTTACAGATTAAGCAACAGTTTACATAGCAAAAAGCACAAGCAACAAAAGAAAAAAAATAACTTGAACTTCAATAAAATGAAAAACTTTTGGCTTCAAAAAACATCATCAAGTGAGTGAAAAGACAATCCACAGAATGGGAGAAAATATTTGCAAATCATATATCAGATAAGGATCTAATATAAAGAATTTGCACAACCTGATGAATAACCAAATTATAACACTGGCAAAGGATTTGAATACACATTTTTCCAAAGAATATATACAAATGGCCACTAAGCCCATGAAAAGAGGCTCAGAATCATTAGTTGTCAGGAAATGCAAATCAAAACCACAGTGAGACGCCACTTTACAGCTACTAGCACGGCTGTAATCAAAAAGACAGTAACAAATTTTGGTGAGAATGTTGAGCCCTCGGAACCCTCACACACTGCTGGTGAGAATATAAAATGGCGCGGCCACTTTGGAAAGCAGTGTGACAGTTCCTCCAACAGTTAAACACAGAGATAGCACTCTATGACCCAGCACTGCCACTCCTCTGTGTCTATTTAAGATAATGGAAAACATCTGCCCACACAAACACTGTACGTCAATGTTCACAGAAGCATTGGTTGCAATAATCAACATGTGGAAACATCCAAATGTCCGTCAGCTGATGAATGGGTCCACAGAATGTGGTACCTCCATACGATGGAAGGTTCTTCAGCCATAAAAAGGAACGAAGCACTGCTACACGCTACAACATGGGTGAACCTTGAAAACATCATGCTAAGTAAGAGAGGCCAGACACGAAAGGCCACATATTGTATAAATCTATTTAAATGAAACGTCCAGAATAGGCAAATCCATAGACAGAACTGGAGTAGTGGATGTCAGGGGCGGGAGGAAGAGAGAAATGGGGAGTGACTGTAATGGTTTCTTTTTGAGGTGATGAAAATGTTCTGGAATTAGATAATGGTGATGGTTGTAGAACTTTGTGAATATAATAAAAACCACCGAATTGTAAACTTTGGAAGGATGAATTTTACAGTATGTGAATTCTATGTAAATAAAATAAATAGTACGGAAAAAATAATATGAAGCAAGCCGTTTTATTACTTCTGACCATGTGTTCTTCTGATAAGTTCTTGAGCTTTGGCCTGGTTTTCTTGGGAACAGCCAAACATCCGATGACTAGAAAAAGGGGCTTTCAGGAATTCACGACGTGTATTCTTATAGCCAGCACCTCATACAAAGTCTCTCTCATTACACACTCGCGTGTAGTTTTTACACACTCATCATGAAGTGTTTTGAGATTAACAAACACCTTTACTTGTAATTTCTTAAATACCATGAAGGAAAAATATAGTCCCTCACAAAAATTTTTTTGTGTGGTAAAATATACACAACATAAAAGTTCCCATTTTAACCATTTTTAAGTGTCCAGTTCAGTGACCTTAAGCACGTTCACGTTGTTGTGCAACCATCACCACCATCTGTCTCCAGAACATTTTCCATCTTTCTAAACTGAAACTCAGTACCCACGAAACGGTAGCGCCCCATCTCCCCTCCCCACAGCCCCTGGCAACCCCCTTCTACTTTCGCTCTCTGTGGCTTTGACTGCTGTAGATACCGCGCATAAGTGGGATCATGTGGTATTTGTCCTTTGGTGACGGGCTTATTTCATCTAGCATAACGTCCTCCAGGTTCATCTATATTGCAGTGTGTGCCAGAACGAACTTCCTTTCTGAGTCATATTCTTGCCAGGAAGTTTTAAAATCCACAAATCTGACATCTGCACTTGTTATAAAACTGACCCGACATCTGATAAAAATGTATTTTAACTGACCACATTAACAGAAATGTCACGTGGTATGGAAAGCTATGTGCTGTGAACCATTCTGGGTAGCTGTGACTTTACAGCCTTGTAAATAGGTTCCTGGTAGTTGTTACTAGATATTAAGCACTTCTGGAGAAGTAGACATGCTCTTCTTTCTTCTTTCAAAATACTAGATTAATGGTTAGTAAGCCGGATTGTTTCAACATGCAAAACTGAGTGGGTCTTTCAAAAATCCATTTGGATATTGTGAATGCAATGTGGTCCTCTCCCCTCTGAAGTGTGCTGGGTGACGA